ATCATGCAAAAATGATTAAAAAATTCCATGAATATTTTTTAAACAAGTTTATTTAAAAAAAGTTTACCTGAGAAACCCAACCAGGTGGAAGCGGTCTTGAATCCATGTTAGAAAAAATTATAAACTGAAGAACTTAAGTTATAAAAAATTGTTTCCGAGATATTTATAGTTTTAAATGGTTATTATGATATCATCAATGACGTAAATTATGACATTTAACTATTCCAATACGTACGTACCGATATCTGATACCTGATATCAGATATGTATGTATGGTACGTACGTATGCACATATATTTAATCAAATATTAATCGATGTGGTTCTTTTTAAGCGAACTACAGCAAAACGACGGCATCTTTAAGCACCACACCAAATGCATTGTACAGATTGTAACAATGATGAAATTTGTACGACAAATTTTTGACCTAATTTTTAACACTCATTTTCTTAAAGTTCCAAATATTTTGCATCTAAAAATATATGTTAGTTACTCTGCATCAATTTAAACATTAGAGATATATAGTTATCCTTTTATTTAAGAGAATAATTCACTAAAGTCAATTAAACAAATCAATTAATTTTGATTAAAAGAGTTTCGAAGAATTTATTACACTAAAAACGTATATATTACGATATTATTACGACATAGTGATATAAGACAAATAATAGTAACAATAATAAATGATCTAAACAATTCAGGCAAATTATCACCTTATGCGATTAGTCACAAGTTGGTACGTACATATTTATCTAACAGGTAACCATATCTCCGATTATGGATTTTTAACTTGAATTAATGACGCAAGTCAAATAAATAAATAAAAATACGTCAATCTTTTTTAGATTTCATTGAACTTTGTACATTCGAGTGTTTTGGATTTTATTTAAATTTTTGGATGCGGAACCAACCGGTAAAGCTAACAATAATTTAAATAAAATGAATTCTTCTCATTATCTTAATGTTTTATTCTCTTTGGAAATCCTCGGGTTCGGATTATTTAACGTTATATTGTTATTGTGGCCGAAATGCAATGCAATTTGTACACGTTATCGAATTCTGGCTTCCTTAATTAGTAACATATCAGTTTCATATTTAAAATAAACATTTTTGGCCAATTAGGAATGATTAAAAACGGTTAAAATCGATCATTCTATTGTTTGCCAATCATGAATAATATAAATTGTACCAAATTACGCTTAACTAGCGATTTTCTTCCCACATATGGTTATTCTTGTTTTAGCCCGGTTAATGTAGAGTTTTTTTTTTCGATTAACGTCAAGACTTTGTTATCGTCACACTTTTTAAATAAAAAACAAACAATCTTACTACCAAAATTCAAATAAAATCTTGTGTAGTGATGTCTTTTTCTCGGAAATGAAATTTTTTTTTTTAAAGGTCTTAATTATCGACTGCTTTTTTTAATCATCTCGAATTGCCATTCACAAATTTAATCGACTTAAATTACCATTATAAACTTAGTCGTTTCGAATTACCCCCTTACAAATTTTAAATCGTTTTATGATAAACCACTATTCATAAATTTAATCATCTCAAATTACTCTTTTACACAATAGACAAGTAATCATCTAAAAATTTATCGGTTTTTTTTTTTTTTCGTTTTTATCCAATGTTTTCTGTGGATCAACAAGATCGATCTAGCAGCGCTAGTGTTTTAACAACTTCTTCAATGACTGCTTCTCAGGTAATTTTTATAATTCCATATTTGACAATTTTACGTCATCTTATAAAAAAAGATATACTGTATATGTATTGATTTATTAATTCCTTTTTAAAAGTTTGATTTACCCATAGCAGCTAAATTTTCGAATATATTACCACGAAATTTATTATATACTGATTTCCCAATTGAACATTTAGACATGGGTTCTACTTGGTATCGAAGATATTTCATTGAAAAAGGTTTGACTTCACATATAGATATATATCCATTGAAATCTTAATTTAAAATAAATAAATAATAAATATATATATCAATTTTTTTTTTTTTTTTAAAGATCATTCGACATTTGTCGGATTTGTTGACCCTTATGGACCTGTAGTTATTTCAATAGTACTCGATAATCGAACTGTAAATGCAAATTGTGAAAGTGTATACTGGTATAGATATATTCTACGTAAAAAACAATTACCTGATGAAAGAGGATTATTGGCCGGTCCACCTATTCTTCCTATGGGTGATTTACCAGCTGAAGATTTATTAAAAATGATTGTAAAAACTCCTAGAAAACCATTATTAAAGAAATTTTTTACTACTCCTGAATTAAAAAATGAATTATTAAATTTGGATGAAACAAGAGTATTTATTATTATTATATTATTATTAGTAATATGTTATTTAATTAGTTTTTTTTTTAATAATGCCGGATCGTCAAATATCGGAGGATCAGGTAATGGAGGACCAAAATATGGTACACCATCTTTACATA